TCTTTCCCAATTTTCTTTCCGAACGGATAGATTCAATCAGCCATATAATATAACCGCCCATATATATACAAATCGGGCAAACTGTCTCTTCTTCTTCTTGAGAGACAACTATTAAACAGAAAAGAGAGAGAGAGAGAGAGAGAGAGAGAGAGAGAGAAAAAGCTTCCTACCTCCCGCCAGTTTGAAATTCAAATGGAACAACAGTTTGGAATATGTTTGGGTTTAGCATATAAGGGAGGGTTTATGGAAATGAAATGGACTTGTTGTGGATAAAGACGAGAAAAAGGATTTTGGAAAGAAATTGGGATGAAAAAGGATCTAGATCCATTTTAATGCTAAACATTTGAATTTCAAAAGTTCTGCAATTTCGAAATTCAGATATTCAAGAGTTCTGAAATTCTAAAAATTTTATTTTTTAAATGAAAATTCAGAACTTGAGAGTCATTTTGGTGCAATACGAGCCTGAAATCTCAAAAACTGACCGAGTTACGGTATTTGGAAGTTTTTGAACATAACATTTGTTTTAATTCGAAATTCTCAGAATTTTAAAATTTCAGAGTCTAGAATTTCAGAATTCTAGAACCTTCTGAATTTCATAAGTTTTGATTCTAAAATTCCACAATTCTAAAGTTGTAAAATTTTAGAATTCTAAAATTCTGAAATTCTTAAATTCTTAGATTCTGTGATTCTGAGATTTTGAGTTTCATTTTGGAATTTCCACAAAATCCAAAAGTTCCTAATATCAAAATATCCTTAAAATTCGAAAAAACCAAAAAAACAAAAATTCGAAAAATATGGAAAATCCAAAAAGTCCAAAGAACATTCAAGAATCCGAAAAGCTAAAAAAACAGAAAACTAAAAACCCCAGAAAATCCAAAAATACAGAAAACACTCTAATAGAACGTCACCCGAATCGTTATATTTAAGCCCATGTATCTTATTTTCTGTGTGAGATATCAAAAAGTGGTCAACTGATAAAATGTTTCTGATATCATGATGAACATTTTATTAGTTGACCACTTTTTGGCATCTTTCAAAAGAAGTGAGATATATACGCTCAAAGTAGACTCTCCGGTGGCGTTCTATTAGAGTGTCTACGGTATTTTAGGATCTCAGAATGACCCTAAATTTAACGGTTTCTGACTAATCCTGAAAGTTACTCCCACTTTTTAATTTCTCTTATGATTTCCCACAAAGACAGAGAAAAGTGAAAACCACGAAATTCGGGAAAAATTGAGAACACATAGAGAAATAACGGAAAGTAAAAGAGGAGGAGGTAGATCTGGTATTAACCTGGATTTGGAAATGGAAAGAAGGGACAAAAATATAGTTTTACTGGAGAAATTGGGGAGAATAAAAACGAAAAATACATAAAAAAAATTCCGAGAAAAATAAGCTCAAAATTTTGTACAGAAATAAATTGAAAGAGAAAAGACCTATGAGTCAATTTATCTCTGTTTCTTTTAAAGATATCAAAAAGTTGTTAACTGATAAAATGTTTTGGACAATATGATAAACACGTTTTATTAGTTGACAACTTTTTGCTATTTTCAACCGGAAACAGATATATGGATTCAAGGTAGACAAGTCGGCTCTTGCATGTTGAGGTACACGATCGGTTGCCGACCACTGGCCTTTAAACCAATGATTCTCGGTTCCATTCAAAGATATCGAAAAGTTGTTAACTGACAAAATATTGATGATATTATGATGAAAATTTTGTCAGTTGACCACTTTTTGATATCTCTCACATGGAATGACTCCCAAGTGTTACCCTTGAAAAAAATTGAGACCTAGATGGTTGGAAAGAGCGTAAAAAGTTATTTTAGAATCCAGAAGGAATAGTTGATAAAAAATTTTTTTGAGGAGTTATGGCCCAAAACGTACCAAAAAATGGCTATTTTTTCAAAAAATCATAACTTTGTCTGTTTTTGTTCGTTTGTTTAGATTTAAACAACAATACATAGACAATTTATTGATCTTTTGGAAAAATTTTTTTGATTTTTTTCTTATTGATTGGATTATTGATTTTTTGAAAAAACCGAAAAATTTTTCAATATCTCAAAAATCCCAAGTTAACTTTTTTTCTTATTATGACCATTGAACTCAGCACATTTGATTTACTATGGAAACATATTTAACTGTAAACTTAAAAGATGGCTCTCTGCTGAAATCCGAGGCTTGTAAATGAACAGAGGTCCATAATAATTGGAGGCCCATAAAGAAATCAGTGGTCCAAAAAACCGGAGTTACAATTAACTTAAAAACAAAACGTAATAAATGTTGCGGAAGTAATGCATCGTACATTACTTCCACAACTTTATGCTATTGACATTATTGTATTCTTTAATTGTAAGCACATCTTAAGTTGTAAGAATAATTCCAAACTGTGGAAACTCTCTAGCCTATCTGAGGATATCTAAAATAATATTCAACATCTCTTGCTTTGTTCTACGAGCTATCTGAAGGAATCAGTTTGTATGGATTTCCAAGTTACGTGACCGTCTCCTTATGTTACCTAAATCTTATAACGAATCGTATTTGCTACGTGGAACGGTCGATGTGAAATTTATGTGAAGGAATAAGATTAGTTCACTGTATATTGCAAGAAAGCCGCCGTCTCGTCCATTCAAAAGATATAAGATGGCGAAGGAGCAAGCTGCCGACGAAACCGCCAAATCGTGTCCTTCTAAAAGTTCGTTTTAATAAAGTTTGAGTGTTGAAATGTCTTTTTTCTTTCTTTGTTTAACTGTCTTTCTGGTTTCCGAGATGGACAGGGGTTCACTACCCAAATGCCGTCTCGACAATAAATATAAAAAACAAATGTAAGACAAAAATGAATTTGAAACCGGAAAATAATTAATTGCAACTTCATTTTTTTGCACTTCCAATAAAGCCTAACTCAAAATTCTGTTCAAGTCGTTGATAGAATTAGGTTCTTCTGATTATGTTAAAAAAAGAGTTTGGCTGTTTTGATCAAGTTTGACATGCCCTATTACATGTCAAAATTTTGATTTTTTCAAAGTTGCAATTTTAAGACATATTACGGCATTCGAATAATTGATTTTCTATGTTGCAGAATAATATTTTAAACACTTTAAACTGACTATATGCATGTAAAAAACACAAAAAGAAGTATGGCCATAGTCATACCGGCCGCCGAAGACAACGAATTCAAAGCAGCCAAGTGCAAAAAATCGACATTTTTTGGCATAACTTGTGTGAGCATTATTTCCTCCGGGGTATTGATATGTTTCCATTGTAAATCAAATGTGCTGAATTCAATGGTCATAATAAGAAAAAAAGTTAACTTGGGATTTTTGAGATATTGAAAAATTTTTCGGTTTTTTCAAAAAATCAATAATCCAATCAAGGAGAAAAAAATCAAAAAAATTGTTTTCCAAAAGATCAATAAATTGTCTATGTATTGTTGTTTAAATCTAAACAAACGAACAAAAACAGACAAAGTTATGATTTTTTGAAAAAATAGCCATTTTTTGGTACGTTTTGGGCCATAACTCCCCAAAAAATTTTTTATCAATTATTCCTTCTGGATTCTAAAATAACTTTTTACGCTCTTTCCAACCATCTTGGTCTCAATTTTTTCAAGGGTAACACTTGGGAGTCATTCCATGTGAGAGATATCAAAAAGTGGTCAACTGACAAAATTTTCATCATAATATCATCAATATTTTGTCAGTTAACAACTTTTCGATATCTTTGAATGGAACCGAGAATCATTGGTTTAAAGGCCAGTGGTCGGCAACCGATCGTGTACCTCAACCTGCAAGAGCCGACTTGTCTACCTTGAATCCATATATCTCGTTTCCGGTTGAAAATAGCAAAAAGTTGTCAACTAATAAAACGTGTTTATCATATTGTCCAAAGGGAGGGGGGGATTCTATTAGAGTTTAAAAATCTGAAACTTTTTCAGATACAAATGTTTTTAGACTGTTCCTAATTTCAAAAACATAGTTTTCTGAAAAATTAGAGAAATTATAAAAATTTCAATTTGAAAACAACTATAAAAAAGTGTAATTCTGCTAGAAGAATAATATTTTTGCCGCCGTTCCTCTTCCTCCCTAGACAGAAAAAACACAAAAAAATGAAAAAAATCAAACAATATGCACTTTTTCATCATCGTCGTCACCATAAAAATATTGCTTTTAGAAATTTAAAAAAATAGAATTTGTGAAAAAAACCAAATTTTAAAACTGAAATCTGGAAATTTTGGGAATCTCTTGAACCGTAATTACTGTAATAAAATTCAGAATCGTCAAAGTTGAGCTCGTAAATCTCATTTGTTGTGTGAGATATCAAAAAGTTGTTAACTGATAAAATATTTTTCAGTTTATGATAAACATTTTATCAGTCAATCACTTTTTGATATCTTTAACGGGAACCGAGATATCTTGGCTCAAAGTGTGCATTGTGTTGGTGACGCAACCGGCTGGCTGCGCGCGATTGCAAACTCAATTATCTCGCTTCCTGTGAGAGATATCAAAAATTTGTCAACTGACAAAATATTTATCATATTATCAGCACCATTTTATCAGTTGACAATTTTTTGATACCTTCTACGGGAACCGAGATAATTAAGCTCAAAGTAAAGGGCCATTCTATTGGAGAAGAGGTTACGGTACCCATCAAAAACTAAATCCCGTGTCCACCAGTCTCCAAAAAAGTCAATTATCCTGATAAACTAATAAAGATCACAGATACAGATCAGTATACCAAAAAAGGGTCATCTTTATTCCAAAAAATCAACAAAAAAACGCAACACGTGTGCACCAAAAAAACTAGAGCATCTAGATAAGCGTTTCGCATAAAAGCAGCCAACAAATCGATCACAAAATCATATCACTCTCTTTGTTTGCCCTTTTCAGGCGCTGTGACTCTCTCTGCGGATCACTCACCCCAAATCGGAAACGCCCACTCTCATCATCAGCCAATCTTTTGCCGGACCATCGGATCCAGACGGTTGAACACCACCACTGAAGATGCGCTGGAATCGTCCACTCTCGACGACACTCGTCCTGCTTGCCCTCGTCATCTACTCAACTGGTAAGCAAATGCGCTCTAATGCTAGTAGGGTTCGGACTGTTCAAAATCACAATCTGAAAACTTCGAAAATCTGAATGACATCGCGCTCTATTTTTGTCTCCTAGAGTCGATAGCATTCTAGGATCTGTCGAGCCTAAAATGCGCTCTAGCGACAATGACTTATAGTCCTAGCTGGTGCGCTTTCGACGCGATTTAATCTAGTACTAACTCAGCGTCCCATCTTTAAAGGCGCATATGTATATATATTTCAGAAAACGTTTACCGAGCGGACGATGATTCGTCATCGACAACCACAGAGACACCAATCACATCTACAGGTAGTTAATAAATTTACATTGAAAAACAAAAAAGTCTGAAATTCCAGCTGTTGATGGTGGTAGCGGTGGATACAGCGATGATTCATCATCATCAACCACTGAGACACCAATCACGTCTACAGGTAGTTTAAAAATTGACATTGTACATTGAAAAAGTCTGGAATTCCAGATTCATCTGGGGGGAGTGACGACGATGACGACGATGATGATGACGGATTCGACGGTGAACCGTCATCGTCCACCACTGAGTCGACACCAGCCGCTGAAGAAACTACGACAGAAGCCGCTGACCAAACTGATTCGAACGGTGGTGTCGATACCACAACTGAGGATTCTGGAAACGTTTCATCTGAAACCCCCTCTACCGAGAATCCAACCGACACACCGGCTCCAACTGGAGCAGTTCAAGTTGATACCACCACTACTGAGGATACAAATGGTGGAAATGGCAACGGAGCAGGTGTGGGCGGTCCGGGAGCAATTCAATCTGTAATCACTACCAGTACCGACAATGCTCCGACCGATCCAACCACCATCGACGATACCAATATCCAGACCTCCACCGCGCAGGCTGTTGTTTACACTGGCACTCCAACCAATAACGGAACTCAGGGTCAACGACGAAGTCAAGGCCAGCAAACTGGAAAGAGCTATACTGTTATTCCGCTTGCCGATGACGTGAAGGTCGATCTTCCACAGCCAACAAAGGTAATTTGAAAAAAAAAATGTTTTTGAAAATCTTTTTTTGCTGAAAATCCGAGTGAGAATTTATTATAACATTCCAAAAAGCTGAAAAAATAGGAAAAAATATTTTGACCCGGTTGGGTTCGAACCCGTGAGCCTATTTTTACTAGCCAAAGTGTTTACCAACTAAGCCAAAGATGTAATTTCTTATAAAATTGTCCAGAATAGTCTTTTTTAGCGGAGAATTTGAATGTTTAGGTTTCAAATCGTTGAAATCGAGTTTACAGGTCACGTACAAGGACGCCGAGGGTAATCCAGTGGAGCTTGAGGATCTGACCGACGACTTCCAGATCATTAGTGCTGATGGTCAAGGCATTCCAAACAACATGGTGGCCAACAAACATGGAGTCTATATTCTCAGTCCAGTGCAAACCAAGAAAAATTCGGTCATCTATGATCCGAATACCATTGGAGAGGCTCTTGGATACTTGTATGAGGTGGGAATTGAGGTGGGAATTGAGCAATCCACAATCCTTATTCTTCCAGCTGAACGAGTTTGGACCAAAAGGTCCAGCCGGTGGTTGGACGATTGATCTGGTACACAATAAGCAACCGCCACAAAAGTTCAAGCGAGCCAACGGACAGAAGACTCGTCGTGCCACGTTGGTCTTCACAAAGAAGGCTGAAGTGGTTGCGGAGGAGAAGTACTGGAAACAGTTCATATCTTCCATCTAAGGATCGACGCCGTCCCCAAAAGCAGACAACTTCACACCAAACGCCAGCATACATCAGTTTAGAACTTTCTCTTTGTTTTGTAGTAAAGTGGTAGAGAATAAAAACTGTGAAAATGAAATTTTTTTGTTGAAAATTAGATAGTTGGCTGAGAATCTGAAAGCCTTAAAAAACATTTTTAAAATGAATGGAAGCCCGATTTTTGAAAATTACAATATTTCAGAATCTTGAAATTTCAGAATCCATAATTCCCTGAATTTCTGAAACTCTCAATTTCCAAATTACTAAATTTTTAGATTTTTTAATTTAGCAATTTTCCTAACTTTTAAATTTAGGAGTTTAGGAATTTTGGTAAAATCTAAGAATGACTAAAAGTTTGAAGCGATTCTGAATTCAATATTTTCAAAATAGCCAACAATTCGAAGCTTTCAAGTTCCCAAATCATTAAAAAATTCCAAATATTGACTCTGAAAATCGAAGCCTGAAATGTTTTGGTTTGTATCATGGAACTTTTGAAATTTTCGAATTTTTAGGTACTTTGAAAATTTTGAATTTAATTTTTGAATTTAATTTTCGAATTTAATATCTTTAAATTTCAGTAATTCTGGATTCTGATATTCTGAAATTTCGAAATCTTGAAACCCTGAAATCTTGAAATCCTGAAATTATGAAGTTCTGAAATTCAAAAATATTAGAAATTCAAAAATTCAAAAATACTGAAATTCTAAAATTTTGAAACATTGAAATTCTGAAATTCTGAAACTCAAAAAAATCATAAATTCAGAAGTTCAAAAATTCGAAAATTCAAAACTTCAAAATTTCGAATTCCAAAAAAAAACAATTTTGGGTTCCGCGAGAATTCCGATATTCAGAAAATTCGAGTTTCGAAAACACTTGAAAACAAAAATTTCGTTTTAAAATCTAGTTCAAAAATTCAAAAAATTCAGAGCATTTAGAACATTTCAGAAAATTTCAGAAACGCCGGAAAGTTCTGAAAATTTTAGAAAAGAAAATTGAAAATTCAAAAATCCGAATTTCAAAAAAATCAGAAAAGCAAAAAATAGATTTTCTTCAAGTTTTTTAATCTAGAAAAAAATGCTTAAAAATCGAGTCCTAAAATCCGAAAATACAGAAACCCCACATCAATTTTCCAAACTTTTAAAGGTGGTGTGCGGTGAAAAATTTTATAGCTTCATTCGATTCAGAATTCTGTATAGATTCCCATAAAAATAAAGGAAAAATTCGAAAAAAATTCCATCATTGAGAAAAACGGCATCGAAAAGTCAAAGTGGGAACCGGTGGCCTAGCGGCCAGGTGTGCGTTTTCTAGGCCAACTGCCGGTAAAAGCGCGCGAAATTCGAATTTTTATTGATTTTCAGTGTTTTCTCAGATTTTTTTCAGGTTTTTTCATATACCTGGGAGGAAATTAACAAAAAAATTTTGAAATCTTCAAAAGACATCTGAGAAAACACTGAAAATCATTAAAAATTCGAATTTCGCGCGCTTTTACCGGCAGTTGGCCTAGAAAACGCACACCTGGCCGCTAGGCCACCGGTTCCCACTTTGACTTTTCGATGCTGTTTTTCTCAATTAAGGATTTTTTTTGAATTTTTTCTTTATTTTTATGGGAATCTATACAGAATTCTGAATCGAATGAAGCTATAAAATTTTTCACCGCACACCACCTTTAAACTATTTTCAGGTTACCTAGATTTTGTTCATGTCTCTCTAATGAAACCAATGGTGTCTCCTTTTCTTCTTCTTCCTCTTTTCCCTCTTTTCCCCTTATTTCCGTTTCTCTGCGTCTATCTTTCTTCCCTTGCGTCTCCAGCTGCTATTAGGTATCCATGGCAACCAAAAATTCCGCCCGTTTCTCCACCCCTTGTTCGTTCCGAGTCTATTATAGTTTTCGAATTATTCGTAACTTTTATTATTTTTTTCTAAATTTCCTTCTTTTTTTTTCTTTGTTTAAGTTTTAAAATATGACGAAACTAGAGAAATTATAGATTTTTTAAAGAAAAAAATGAAATTAAAACTGTCAACATCTCGAAAAGCTCGCCATTCGGAAATGGTTTGTGGTGTTGGGTGGATTGGAACAGAAGCGATTTTATCAGCTGGAGATGATCATAATTTTCTGTTGACCAACACTCAAAATAACGATTCCCAACAGATTTTGAGCATGCCAGAGTGAGTTCAGTATTCCAGAATTTTTGAATTTTTGAATTTTCTGAAAAACTAGATTTCCAGAACATTCTACCCAACATCACTTCACATTTTTCCAAGATCTCAAGCTGCCAAGGGTGGACAAAATGACGTTTTTGCGGTTTCGACTTCAGATGGTGAGAGACACTTTCAGCTCAATTATCTCAACTTCTGTAAAAGATCCCAGAAATTTGTTAAATAGCAAATTATTTATCATATTATCAGCTACATTTTATCAATTGACAATTTTTCGATATCTCTCATAAGAATCGAGTTAATTGAGCTCAAAGTGTTGTAGTGACGGAACAAGCTGGCTATGAGCTGCGACGACCGAGCCGGTTTAAGCTTAATTTTTATGTTCCTGGAGGAAATATCAAAATTTTGTTAGCTGATAAAATATTTCTGACATTATAAGCTACATTTTATCAGTTGACCACTTTTTAATACCTTTAATAGGAACCGAGATAATTGAGCTCAAAGTTCATGTCAACTGTTTCGGAGGTACCTTTTGTACGGATAAATGAAACATAAAAAAGACAGCTGAAAGCTCAGAAAACTAACGAATCTGAAATTTTCAGGAAAATTGAATATTCTCTCAAGAAGTGGAAAAATGGAAAAAGTGGTGGATGCTCATAATGGAGCAGCGTTGTGTTGTCGTTGGAATTCTGATGGGACCGGATTGTTGTCATGTGGGTTTTCTGGAATTACAGTATGCATTTTGATGTGATGGTGTGCAGTTTTACAAATTTTCATAGTTTACAATTTTCCTAGCTGTAACGCTTTAAATTTATGAGGAGACGCAGAGAAGCGAGAGCGCTCGCACTCCTCTGCGTCTCTCTTTGGCTTTAACGGCACATATCTCAAGAACCAGCAGAATTGTCAAGTAGTTGTAAACTAAAAAAATGTGTGAAATTTAATTTTACATATTTTTGAAGGCCATAGTTTCTCTTTTGCTATTACTGTTTTTGAGATATGCGCCTTTAATGATTGAGCGACTCTTTTACTGGGGGTCCTAGTAGAGGGGACGCGCTAACTTTAAAGGCGGATATCTCAAGAACCAGCAGAATTATCAAAAAGTTGTAAACTACAAAAGTAAGTAAAATTTTATGGTGAGCAATTTTTGAGTCGACTATTTTATTCTAGCTTTCTTAGTTTTTAAGATATGCTCCTTTAAAGTTATTGCGCCTCCTCTAATGGGGTGCGCTAACTTTAAAGGCGCATACCTTAAGAACCAGGAGAAGAATCACAAATTTTTAAACTACAAAAATAAGTACAGTTTTTTTTGAGCAGTTTTTGTAATTGTTAGTTTCTTTATCGCTTTTACTAGTCTTGGGATATGCACCTTCAAAATAAGAGCGCCCTAGTAGAGGAGGAGCGCTAACTGTAAAGGCGCATATCTCAAGAATCAGCACAACTATCAAAAAGTTGTGAACTACTAAAATGTGTGAAATGTTTTTGACACATTTTTGTAGTTATCTATTTTCTTTCAGCTTTTTTAGTTTTTAAGATACGCGTCTGTAAAGCTCATTGTTCCAGGCGGCGAAGACGGCTTCGTAAAAATGTGGTCCCGAAACGGTATGCTCCGTTCTGTCCTAGCTCAATTTGCCACCGCAGTCTACTGTGTTGCATGGGACTCAACATCATCAAATGTGCTCTACTGTAATGGAGATCAATGCTATATAAAGTCATTGAAAATGCAAGTGGCTCCTCTTAAATGGAAGGCACACGATGGCATCATCTTGTGTTGCGATTGGAGTCCAACTGCAGCATTGATAGTTACAGGAGCCGAGGATTTGAAGTTCAAGGTTTTGAAAACGACTGTAATCCCCAATTTTTGTCGATTTTCAGGTTTGGGATGGATTCGGCCAGATATTATTCAATTCTTCGGTCCATGATTATCCGATTACAAGTGTCGCATGGACCAGTGATGGTAGTTTGTTTGCAGTTGGATCTCATAATATCTTGAGATTGTGTGATAAGTCGGGGGTAAGCACTTTCTAGAAATTTCCCACAAAAATTAGATTTTCAGTGGTCCCATTCCCTGGAAAAAATGAATTCTGGCTCTGTTATGTCAATGAGCTGGTCTCCAGATGGTACCCAGCTGGCAGTTGGTACAGCTGCTGGACTAGTTTTTCATGCTCATATCATTGATAAGTAAGTTTCAAGGATGACCAAATTTTACCTATTTCTATTCAAAAATAGGCAATTAACTTGTTCTAAATAAACTTTTCCAGACGCCTGAGTTATGACGAATTTGAAATCGTGCAAACCCAAAAACAAGTAATCGAAGTTCGAGATGTAAGTAGTGAAGTATCAAAGGAGACACTGGAAACCAAGGATCGGATATCCAGAATGTCAATTCTGTACAAATATTTGATTGTCGTCACCTCGTCGCATATTTATATTTATAGGTGAGAGCATTTGGCACTTTGAGCTCAATTATCTCGAATCCTATAAGAGATATCAAAAGTTTGTCAACTAATAAAATGTTTCACATATTATCAGCAACAATTTATCAGTTAGCAACATTTTAATATCTCAGATAAGCACTGAGATAATGGAGCTCAACGTGCGCGGCTCCGTCAGCTGCCTGTGTCACTACCTCACACTTTGAGCTCAATTATCTCGGTTCCTATGAAAGATGTCAAAAATATGTCAACTGATAAAATATTTGAAATTTTATCAGCTACATTTTATTAATTTACTCAATTTTGATATCTCTTACGGGAACTAAGATACGTCGTTTCAAAGTGACCAAAGACTCCTGGGCGCCGCAAGGGACGCCAAGGAAGCGTGGTTACTTTGAGCTCAATTATCTCGGTTCCTATAAGAGATAGCACAATTGTGTACACTGATAAAATATTTAACATATTATCGGCTACATTTTATTAGTTGACACATTTTTCATATCTCTGGTAGGCACCGCGATAATGGAGCTCAACGTGCGCGGCTCGGTCAGCTGCCTGCGTCACCACCTTAAACGCTTTGAGCTCAATTATTTCGGTTTTTAAAAGAGATATTAAAAATATGTCAATTGATAAAATATTTCTGATATTATCAGCTACATTTTATCAGTTGACCCATTTTTTATATCTTTTGAATGAACCGAGATAATTGAGCTCAAAGTTTTTTGTCGAAAAGAAAATAACTTCCAATTCAAAAATTCAAAACTTGCAGCTCAAAAAACTGGAATACCCCTACCATGATCGAGAACACCGAACGAACTGTCAATATAATTGTGCAATGTGAAAAGTGAGTTTTACCGCCCGATATCCATGTATCCAGATGTCCTCCCCAGAATCTTCCTTGTCTCTGATGGCTTAACAATCACAACGTTCACCTATGAAGGTCGTAAACTGATCAATTTGAATCCTCCAGGACAGGTGATGGCACTTTTGGATGAGCGGAAAATTGATTTGGCAAATGATACACTGGTGGTTAGGGACAGGGCGGATAATAAGGTTTTGCACTTTTTCGATCCGACTACAGGAAAGGCACAAGGAGATGGGAACTTGAAACATGAGGTGGGACTTTTTAGAGGAAATCAGACCATTGGGAATTTCGTTGTGCCGTTTTTCCCGTAAATTCGTTCAAGGAGATTTTCCGGAGCCTTTTATTGTCACCGTTGCTCATCTAACTTTGAACCAACTTGTCTCATTTCCTGTGAAAGATATCAAAAAGTGGTCAACTGATAAAATGATTATCATAATATCACCAATAGTTTACTAGTTGACATAATTCTTATATCTTTCACAGGAAATGATATAAATTGGTTCAAAGTTAGCCGACCGATGCTTCCGCTACCGTAGCTCAGCAGGTAGCGACGCGGCATCTCCAGCATAGGCCCACAAGTTCAATTCCTTGATGGGGCGTATGACAACGAAATTTCGAGAAATAAATGTTTCATGACCTCCTCTTTTGAAGTTTTGAAGATTCTCGAATTTCCGAAATTTTGAAAATTTGGAATCAGAATCTCAGGAGCTCAAAATTAAATTCTGAAAATCTCAAATCCCTGATTCCTTTCAGCACGACATCGTAGAGCTTACTGTAAACCAATGTGGGTCCCTCAACGAACGAAATGTCGCATTTCGTGACCATATTGGTGCTGTGTACGTGGCAATGGTCAAAACTTTTGGTGTCAGTCAGCGATTGGTCAAAATTGGATCATTGGTTGAGCAGTTGGTTTTCAATGATGTCACAAATATGTTGTGTGGGATTTCAGAGGGCAAAATTGGTGAGTTATGTGTCAGGCTATTTTTAGGCTACGGTATTTTTTCTAAAATTAAAGATTACTGTAGCACTTTTTTTTCAAATAGAACGTTTCCTTCAGTTGTCTGGCCTCTCCCCAACATCGCCTTCTCCGATCGGAATCTTCTTCAAAAATCTCTAATTCAAAAGACCATCGGTATCATGGGAAAATTCCCACAACTCGCGAATTTCGCTGGAAACACAATTGTGATTCGAAAATCGGATGGATGTTTGGTGCCAACAGGAATTTTACCATTCTATGGGACTTTGATAACAATGGCTTCGAGTTCGAAATGGGATCAAGCGATTCGATTGTGCAGGAGTATTGGGGTAAGTCTTACTTAAAATATAACTGTTTTCAATTGAAAAAGTCAAAATACGGAATTATAACGTTGAGCCAATTTATCTCAATTTCTGTAAGAGATATCAAAAAAGTTGTCAATTAATCAAACATTTTTCATATTATCAGCTACATTTCATCAGTTTACAACTTTTTGATATCTTTTAAAACAACCGAAATAAGTTGGCTCAAAGTAACCAAGCTTCCTTGGCGTCTCCTCTCTTCACTCGCCTAGGCGGCTTTGGTCACTTTGACCTCAATTATCTAAATTTTTGTAATAGATATTAAAAAATGGATAACTAACAAATGTTTATCATAACATCAGTAAAATGTTATCAGTTGACATCGTTCTGATATCTTTCACAGGAAATGAGATAAATTGGCTCAAAGTTGACATTCGCATTGAGCTAAAAAGTTTTTCCAGAACGACACTCTTTGGGCAACACTTGCCAGTCTCGCCGTCATTCACAAAAACATGGCATCCATGGAAATCGCGTATGCTGCATTGGAAGATGATGAAAAAGTTTCAATGATAAATGAGATAAAAGATAAGACTGATAAGGATGTCCGCCAAGCGTTACAAGTGGTCCTAACTGGAAAATTAGCAGATGCTGATACGATTTTGGAGAGGAATGGACAAGGATTCCGAGCCATGATGCTGAATATTCAGATGTTTAAATGGAAAAGGTAGGAATTCTGAAAATTCTATGATTCTGAAATTCCGAAATTTTCAGAGCTCTCGTGTTGGCTGGAAAAGACAAAGATTGGATTGAGGTCGTTATGGGATATCGTGAGAAATATTTGAAAAACTGCGGACAAAAAGAAACGGATCCACAGTTTTTGAAAATGATGTCTGAGGTATTTTTTGTCTGAAAATTACATTTTCTAAAATTATTTTTTTTCCAGGTCGAAATCGATTGGGTTCACATCAGAGAGACGATTGCAGCGGAGAAAGCTAAAGGAACTTATTGATTTTTGAGATCAATTTTTATATTTTTTGATAGATGTGCTATAAATTTTTTAACTCATAAACTAGCTTTTATTCAAATTCAGAATGGATTAAAATAATGGAAAAATCTCGAAAATTATTGCTATGGTTATACCGTACCGAGTCAAAAATATATCATATTTTTGATTTTTTCAGTAAAAAAATTCAATTTGAACGGCTACAAAAGTAGTCTAGAATTCTCCAATTTGTCTGAAAATTTCAGATTATACTAAACAAAAAAAGAACTCCATTTTTGCAATTGACAACTTTTTTGTACAAATCCAAAAAAGGCGAGATAAAGGGTTTCAAAGGTGCACAACTCTCGTTTCAGTGCTAACTTAGCCACTATTTTAATTACAAATGGCATATCTCATCAGAACGAAATTTGGCAAAAAAGTTGTCAATAACAAAAATGAAGCTCTATTTTTGTTTAGTATATTCTCAAATTTTCAGACAAATCCAAAAATTTTAGATGTCAGAAAAAATTGTAAAATCCGAAAATCCAAAGAAACCCCTAAAAATCTAAAAATTCTAAAATTTTGAAAATTCCGAAAAATTCTTTTAAAAAAAAGGAAAAAACTGAAAATCCAAAGTTCTTAAGATCCCGGAAAATTCAAAAATTTTAAAAACCCTAAAAATCCTGATAAATCTGAGAATTCGAAAACTCAAAAAGAGTAAAGAACCTTATAATTGAAAAAATCCTAAAAATCTTTATTATGGAAAAATCCCTAAAAATCTAAAAATACAAAAATCCTAAAAATGTAAAAATTCGATCTCTTCAAAATAATTGAAAACTCTTCATGATCTCCCCTCCCTTCTATACCTAAAGGCCCTTCTATTAAAGGGAGCCCTTCTATTTCCAAGACCCTCTCGGAGGGCCCTTCTATTAGAGGGACCCTTCTATTAAAGAGGCCCTTCTAATACAGGTTTTTTTGTATTTTTTTTTCTAAGCCTGATTTTTAAGATTGTGTGTGTGTGAGGTAAACGTTTTTTCAAAGGCTAAGCCTACTTTTTAGAAGCTGAAAATAATTTTTAATGGCTGATTTTACTTCTAGGGGCCTTGTTTTCAGTATGCGCCGATTTAAGTTGCTAATTTTTTTGTATTTACCGTAAAACCTGTATTAGAAGGGCCGGTCCCTCTATTATTCGTGGGGTCCCTAGGAATTAGAGGGGTTCTTTAATTAAAGGAAAAACTTGTATTTTTCGTGAGTCCTCGAGAACAGATATTCTATTGGAGGACATCCTTTTTCAGTGAAAATATCGTTTTTTCTACTAAAAATCCATTTCAATTTCTACATAAAAATTAGCAAAAACACCAATATTGTCAAATTTAAAAAAAAACTGGTACCTGAAAATTTCGCGGGCACCGTTCGTGTCGATTTACGAGGCCTCGTCTTTGAATCCGCCATTGTATCAAACGAAATTGATTTCTTTGAATTTAGTGGGATGTTCTGATAACATTACGATCTTGGTAACATTTTGGTCGCTAGAATTTCTAGAATTTTTAAAATCGAAATTCCAAGCTTGATTGCGAAAATTGTTCGAACGAGAAATCTGTATTAGAGCAACGGCATTCAACTTTAATAGAAGGGCCTTCTGTGAAAAAGGACCTCTTTTCAAAATGTGTTTTGAAATCAGAAAATTTCCGTACTTTTTTGGTGGAAAATATTCGGAAACTCCACAATTGAATAGAATTTGTTGAAACTCTATTTTTCGATGAAAATCTTGCTAAATTTTGATGAAATCGGCAGGTTTTTATGAATTTTGAACAAAATTTCGTCGAATTTTTCGAAGCGAAAATTCGGGAAAAAAACTGGCCTGAAAAATAGAAGGGCTCTCTCTAATTGAAGGTCCCCTGTAATAGAAGGGTCCTCTGGTGGTACCTTGGAACAATAGAAGAGCCGGCCCTTCTAATACAGGTTTTACGATGATAAAAGTAGGCTCAGCCCTTAAAAAGTAAGCTTAGAACCCTAAATTAAAGGAGGACTCCGACCAAAAATTTTTATTGCATTAAAATGTGCTAAAAGTTATCTACTTTCCGAATATTATTGCGAAAAAATTCAAAGAAAATCCGAAATCCCCGAAAAACGGCGTTGAAAAGGAAGAAAATTCAAAAAATGGTGCCGCCGGGGGACGAGGATTTTCAGTGAGAAACCTAGGCCACGGCAACTGACAGCCTTTTTTTCAAGTCGCCGACAGTGGTTTTTTACGTTTAAAAAATCCGGAAAATTTGCCACATAGGAAAGGCGCCCGCTGCCGTGGCCTAGGTTTCTCACTGAAAATCCTCGTCCCCCGGCGGCACCTTTTTTTGAATTTTCTTCCTTTTCAACGCCGTTTTTCGGGAATCTCGGATTTTTTTGAATTTTTTTGCAATAATATTCGGAAAGTAGATAACTTTTAACACATTTTAATGCAATAAAAATTTTTGGTCGGAGTCCCCCTTTAATGGATACAAAAAACTGAAAGTCAAATTAGCATTTTAAAGTTACTTCAGCCATTAAAAAGTATGCTTAGAGCTTGAAAAGACATTTACAAAATGTGGAAAAAGTCCCTAGAAAATTATGAATAGCTATGCGAAAAAGTTCCCTTTTCTGGCAATACTTGAAGTTTGTTTTCTGAGTTTTCGAATCCCAATTTATCAAAACATTTTTGAATTTTTACAGAACATATGTCTCTCAATCGATTCCGGAATATTTTTTACACATTACGAAAGTTATGTTTTTCCAGTTTTGAATATTCGAAAAACTATCCCAATAATTTTTTTAAATTTTCAAATTAGCCCTTAAAGGATGAAAAAAATAATGTTCTCGAAGTTCCGTTCAAAAATGCCCCTCGAGGAGTTGAACTTGTGAGGGCGATGATTGAGGGTGCGGCGCCGCTACCGACTGAGCCACGCGGGCAAAGAGAAAGCGCACGCCCGATTGCATACATAAAGGCGAAGACGACAGCTGTACGCAGAGTGACATTAAGCGTTGTACACCGTCACGGTAGAATGCATACTCTAACTACAAAAAAACTACGAAAAATCTCCTGTCCCCCCACCTTTAAAATTAGGAAAAATTCCTTAGAAAATGCCTATGCAGAAAAACAATTTCCCCTTCTTTTATTTTAAAATTTGGTAATGTTTTTCCAGTTTCGGAAACTCCAAAAACTACCCCAAGAATCATTTGAATTTAAAATAAGATATTCGAAAAAAAAAATAAAAAGTTGAGTTTAAATTTTAAAAACGTGAGGTATATAATAACCATTGAAACTTCCTCTAACGTGCTCCCGATTAGCCTAGTGGCTAACAGGAATGAATTTGAATCAACCGTCGTTGGTTCGAGTTCTCCCCAGAGCCTAGTGGTTTTTGTCAGAGTACAGTAATCGGGGCAAATCGGTAACAAAACACGGGAAATGCCCTCTGGTGTGGCGATACGATTGCGTTAACCTTTAAGATCGTTTTTCTGGTTTCCTGACAAATATATCAAAGAGTGGTCAGCTGAAAAGATGTTGATGAGAATATCACAAAATATTTTATCAGTTGACAACTTTTTCATATCGTTCACATGAACCAAGATAAATTGCATCAAAGATAAAAGAAAGACGACACTTCTATAAACGGTTTCACGGTAAATTTCACTGGAAAAGTCAAAACATGATATGTTTTACTGTAGCTATGCAAATCTGCTCTAATGAAAATTCCCGAATTCCAGCTCATGGAATAAATGGAGAAGAAAATCGAAGACCTGCAGCAATGTTCGATGACCTGGAACGAAGCTCAATTCCTCAGACATTCCGTGAATATTCTATCGAAAAGTCGTCGTACAATGATGTACACATACGTCTTCGCCTTCTATCTCAAATGAAATAATCATGCGGAAATCTTTGAAACCAATCAGCGAGAACTGGAAATGGCCACAGAGCAATTGTCAGGGTATCTGGAACAGGATATGGATGAGGAGGATCCTCGAACTTTGAAACAGAAGATTCAGGACGAATGTCGATACATTGAGCACCGTCGGCAGGTTCTAATGAATCACTGTTCGGAAGGAAATGAACAGGAAATTTGGGAATTTACCGAATGATTTATTTAATAATTGTTTCTGTTAGACGCAATTTTAAATATTTTTCACTTTTGTACAACTGCATAACTTGTAAATTTTTACAAACTCAGGAAGCTTCAATCAATCTCTTTACACTACCTCATAGTCCATTTTCTGTACCTTCTGTCTTACAATGTATATTCCTCTCTCTCAAATAAATCTTATTTTGAAATTCCCGATTCATTAGTTTCATGTTTTCAGAACTTCCTGTGATTTGGAAAAATATTGTATTGTGTCAGTACACCTTTTTCAAATCTTTCACAGGAAATGAGAGAAATTCGCTCTAAAATGGCTACCTTTTCACAGACTGAAAGTTTAGAAACGGTTTTTTTTTTCGATAAACTTCAAACGATTTTTAATGCGAATATTCATTCATTCAAAAAACCAATTATGATTCAAACACACTGTCCGTTGACGCATTTCCTGTTATCTGGACATTCGAGTGGATGTGTGCATGTCATTGGAACGAACGAGTGCTTTGGTGGTGGGAAGATATCTCGAATGTACCGGCAAACTCCGCTCCTACATAAGTACTCCCTTCCACAGTAGTCAATTCCAGCAATCTTTGAACATTTACGGAATGAAGAAATCGGATGGCATTCGCCGGCACTGCACAAGTTGGAGTCAATACAATCCGAGTCTCTTTCACAGCTACGGTCAGGCATCATTCCAAAAAATTCTTGGGAGAAAACGTCAAGGACGAGGAAGGAAATGAGAAGGATCTGGAAGCAGAATTTGTTTGAATCCGGAAAATATGATTCTTGTCCGACGCCTTATGACCGAAAAGTTATTTAAAGGCGCATAGCCGCACGGCGTTGCACGTTTTAACCTCCAGCAAAAGCGCTTTGTCGCTGAAGGAGTTGGCACCGTGCCAAGTCATCTTTTTTTAAATAGAAAATTCAAAATTCCAAGACAAATTTTTGCCGCGTTGCGAGACGCAACGCACCTGAAAGAACTGGAACAAATTTGAATTCATGTACGCTGTTGCAACCCCGTGTAGCCGGTCCTGAAGCAAAAAAAACTACAGTTTTACAGATAAATTCGTGCGCCTTTGATACAGCACTTCGGAACTAAAACCTGTAATATACTTTTGCTTCAGAGCCAGCAATGCGCCTTTAAATGGCCCAGTATCCAAGGGTACATCGAAAAAGGGTACATCGAGTTCTTAGGGTACATTGGTTCCAAGGGTACATTGGATTGTTCGGTACATGTAGGTGGACAAAAAAAGTAAATCAATATTTTTATACATACTATTTTGATTTCTGCTCAAAATTATAGGCTTAGGCTAAAACGTTTTACAGTCTAAGATGCCATGTACCCTCAGACCAATGTACCCTAAGAACTCGATGTACCCTCGATGTACCCTTTTTCGATGTACCCTTGGATCGTGGGCCCCTTTAAATAAATTTTCGGCCGCAGGGTTGATCGGCGCCGGACCAGAGTAATAACAGAAAAGGTTTAATAAATTCCAGTGGAGCACCTTTTCAAGTGCGAAAAATTTAAAGTTAAAAATAAAAGAAAACTCACCGAGAAAATCTTCATGTTTCCGAATTTTCGATTCAGAATGAAAAAGGAGAAGCTATGCTCCCCTTTTTATATTTTTCGTCCTAATCGAATTTCGGTCGTCCATGTGCAATCAAATATTGGAATCTTATGATCATTTTCTGGGAACGGAACGAGAATGGGAAACATCAAAAGATCAGAAAATATGGCTGAAATTTAAGCTTATCAACTTTGAAAAAAAAATGCATAATTATAATTTGAATAATTGCATGAATATTATATTATTGTTGTCTGAAAAAAAATACTTAGAGAGTATTTTTTGCAGGGTGTATACGGTAGGTACCTCGAAGCGGCAAGCCTAAATATTGTCGGAATAAAAAAAGTGAGACTCGGTGTTTGCGTACTTTGATTCCCGCCTCCCCCCACCGACGCTCCGCCCATCGCTTTGCAAGTGCG